AAAACATATATTGAAAATCCTATGGCCCTTGGTGATGAACAATTAGTGCGGCGGACGGTATTGATGGGGGTACCCAGGTGCAATGCAACGGCTGGGCAGAAGCCTGACCCGTGCTTGTGAGGTTGCAAGGGAGTTGCATGTGTAGGTGGAGTGGAGTATTGGAGACCGAAGCACTGGTAATTTTATTTAGGCATGTTCAGCCTGAAAGTCTCAACCATCGAGGTAGAAGAATAAATCCGTGGTCTTATTGATTGGCTGGTAATAATGCACGTGGGCTATCACGGTCCCACGAGCTCCATGGAAACAAAATTGACATGACATGCTCCCGCTCCGCTCTAAAGCGCGGGTGGGCCGATTGGTTCTTACCACACCTTCGGGACGTTAGTGGCAGTTGGGAGGCAACATGCAGGGAAGATTTGCAGACTTGAGGGACTGACAAGGGCAAAAGAAAGGGACAGTGGGGGGTTTTCAATGAGTTTGACTAATCAGGTCAGCATTAGATGTTCGAGAAGTCTGCCAAAGCACCCGGCTACGTGGTCTGAGGGTTCTTCGTCATCGTTCGTATGTATGACTGCAAGATCGTCGGGCTCGAAAGAAATGAGGATATAGCGAATAGCATTCAAGGCGCTACATTTAGTTACGTATCGTAGTCTTGAAATCTCGATCACGATTTTTGAGTCGCCGGAGAAAGACGACACTGTAGTTGCTCAGCCGTCTCATCCCGCTGATAATGTTCTTCCTTACATTCTTCCTTACATAAGATAGTGTTAATGGGGCCATTCCTACAACGTCATTTCAACCTCGGTCAAGCCGACTGATGCTTTTTCGAGTGTTTTTGGGCAATACTGCTAAAGTCATTGCACATGTCTTGAAGGAAAGGCTTGTACTGTAAGGAAAGTCTTGGCGGTACAGAAGCTCACAGACTACCTTGGGAACCCTTGCAAGGCGTATGCACGAGGACGGCTATGCGGCACGCAAGTCATTCAGCTGTTCCCGTATACTAACACGCTCCGTTCCGCCATGGGATTTTGGGACGTTGAAAAGTCGAGAAATAAAACACATGGTCTAGTGGAGCGAGCTGATTGGCCGAGAAAGACACGACGCAAACACTCGGTAGCTGGTGCATTGAGCAATCAGACCGGGTCAGAGATTTCGAAGGATAGTAAAGGCGTCTTGGCAACGCCTGGGCGGTCTCGGCATTCCGCCAGCCAGACTGGCCCAAGAGCCCAGCTAGCTCGACTGCATGGAAACGTGCCCCCATGGGCAATTCTCGTTCGCCCGCATTTCGCAACGTGCTTCCACGGCCATGGCGATATTCATGTTCCAAGAATTCTACTCCACTCAACGCGACACCAGCCCAGAAGCAGATCTCGTGGCCCAGTTCAGGGTGGCGGCACGTCTACGCCAATTGCATGTCAACCTCTCCATATTATTCAGCCCAGAGCATTCGTACACGACCAGGTAAAGACGCCTAGGAGGGAGTTCAGACCATGGCGACGGCGATGTAGCATGTTATGGTGGCTTGGTTGATCCACCATGCCTCAACGAGGAGCCAACACCGTCGAACGCCCACACCCGTCTGAGTCCACATTCACTTAGCGAAAATGTCATCTGTGTTGCCAAGATTAGATATCTATGCATCTTTGAATCAGTGCAACTTACTTAAAGTCTCTTACACTCGACCACCGTGATACTCGACCACTCAGTGTCAACTCACAACACCTCCCATCCTTCAGTCAACAGGCGCCAGTGCTCGCCCTCTTCTCCAAAATGGCTCCCGCCTTAAAGAAGTACGACTGGATCCTTGCCATCTGCACCATTGCCTTCGTCGCCTCGTCGGCCTCCAACGGTGCCAACGATGTCGCCAACTCATACGCCACATCGGTGGCTGCTCGGACCCTGAAGATGTGGCAGGCCGGTATCCTGGCTTCTGGTACTGAGTTCCTCGGTGCTGTTGCGCTGGGCTCCCGCGTTACTGGTACTATCAAGAGCGGTATCTTTGCTCTCGACACTTTCAAGCCTGTTCCTGCTACCCTCATGCTCGCCATGAGCTGTGCTGAAGTCGGATCTGCTACTTTCCTCACCATCGCGACCCTTGCTGGTATGCCAGTATCTACCACCCAGACTGTCGTCGGAGCCCTTGCCGGTGCCGGTATTGCTGCTCAGTCACCTCTTAGCTGGGGCTGGAAGAAGGGATCCATCTCCCAAATCGCCGCCTCATGGGTCATCGCTCCCTTCCTCGCCGCCGCCTTCGCCGCCGTCCTCTTCCTGACCATCAAGTTCGGTGTCCACCAGAGGAAGGACCCGCTCAAGTGGGGTCTTCGCCTCATCCCCTTCTACCTTGCATTCACCGCCGGTGTCCTCGCTCTTTTCATCATTGACGAGCTGCCAAATGGAGAGTCTCTCGAGGAGATGGGTCCTGGCAAGGCTTGTGGTATCATATTGGGTGTCTTTGCCGGAATGCTCGCCATCTCCTACATTTTCTTCGTCCCCTACTTCACACGCCGTCTTATCAAGGGTGACACCAGGCTGAGGGTATGGCACCTCCCTCTCGGTCCCCTTCTGTACCGCGAGAACCCTCCCATCTACTTCCCCGGCAAGGGCGACCAGATCGTCACCGACTACTACGCCAGGGCAGCCTCCGTCGATATCGAACAGGAGAACTTCAAGGGCGAGAAGGGCGCTGGTCACTCAACATCCGTCGACAACAACTCTTCCGGAAACAGCGACAACATTGATGTTGAGAACGGTGGCCGCGGACTTTCGCGCCCACTTCCCCGCGATGGCGCCGTTGCCCACATCGCTCCTGCTAAGCCCGAACCCGAGGAGCGCTGGTTGAAGCCTGTTGAACATCTCCCGGCCTACTCGCCCAAGAAGATTGTAGCCTGGACCAAGTATATCCTTCTCCAGGGTGTCTCACGAGACGTCGTTACCCAGAAAGGTACGTTGTATTCTCCCGTTCATGATTAGATCTTCCACTAACATACCTAGGTCTTGACAGTGTCCACTCCCGCGCTATCGTCTACGACAACCGTGTCGAACATCTCTGGACCTACGCCCAAGTTGCCTCCGCCATGATGATGTCCATTGCCCATGGTTCCAACGATGGTAAGCTTTACCCATCACTCTCCACACAGAACATGTAAACTAACTCTCCTCCAGTTGCCAACGCCGTTGGTCCTTGGGTAGCAACCTACAACACCTACACCACAGGCGTCGTCACAAAGGAGGCCGACACCCCCATCTGGATCCTCATCGTCGCTGGTATTCTCCTCGGCGCAGGCTTCTGGTTCTACGGCTACCACATCGTACGCGCGCTCGGTAACAAGATCACACAAGTTTCTCCCACCCGTGGCTTCTCCATGGAGTTGGGTGCGGCCATCACCGTGCTGCTCGCTTCTAGACTGGCGCTTCCCGTATCGACCACACAGTGCTTGACGGGTGCGACGATTGGTGTTGCCCTGTGCAATTTCGATCTCAAGGCCGTCAATTGGAAACAGGTTGGATTCATCTTTTCCGGTTGGATCATCACCCTACCTGGTGCGGGGCTGATTTCTGGGTTGCTCATGGTTATGGCGCTTAACACGCCGCATTTCTAGATTTCTGAGCGGGTCTTGGGAGGGGGTTTCTTTGGTCAAGTAGCATTGAGATGCGTTATGTATGTATACGAATGGGTTTGGAGGCAAAGAGCATGATACCAATCGCTTTTCACTGTTTTCAGAAGCAATACCATAATTGAATAGACCACGACCTTGCACAACTGGTTAACGATAAGTTAAGTCTCGAATCGATCGGCGGGGTTTATCCACATGACATGCCAGTGCGGTCTCCAGACCGAAGTCAGGACCTGACTTACCAAGCCAACCCGACATTTCCCCATCGTGTTTGGCGCACAAGCTATTTCATACCCCTCTCTCCCTCACTTGTACTAAGAAAACAGAAAGAGGGGCATAACAGGTGCACTGTCAGAACCGTTAGATTTAGCAGCAACGACACTATGCCTCTTCAAGCCAGCACTCCGTGGCTGGCTTAAGCGAGCGATGATCGCGGTGTTCTGGCTGCTGGGGTGTTTGAGATTAGATTTGAGGCTGGGCGCACAGAGCAGAACGGCAGGTGCGTGGATATGTAACAGATGGCTCGTGTCTATGTTTTTGTGTGTGTGTGTGTGTGTGTGTGTGTGTGTGTGTGTGTAGATACTAGGGTCGATGAATTGAGATTGGATGTAGGGGGCGTTTGGGGCTGAGCGAGATGAACGGGTTATGTGACTACATCTCGAGTGAAATTACAGTTTGGGTTGGGACTGAATGAGCCGATGAGTATGTGGATGCGTGTGTTATGCTGAGCTAGAGACCAGATGTTGATTTGAATGCGAGTCATGAGGCCTGAATGAGGGTAAGTGCTTCATGCCGCTTTTCATGTCAGGACGGCTAAAATCCCCGCTCTTATCTCAATGTGAAGAGGCTCGGGAACTTTGGGGAAGCGGAAACTTGGACGATGATATAACGTGCCATCGTCGATGGGAGAGAAGGCAAGCCGTTAAATCGAATTGTTCTAGAATAACAGGAATTGGTGGGTATATGTTGCCAAGTGCTTTCCTTGCTCGCATCTTTCTGTCCTTACGACTAGCATGACTGGATCCTTGTGTTTGTCGTCGGTGACTTGAAGATAGTGGACGGAGGTTCGTCTTCGTTTTCTTGTAACGTTAGTGTGTATACCGAGGTAGTCACAGCGAATACGCAAGTGCCGGACTAGCAACACACGCTAACATAGCGAGACTCTACCTCTTAGCAATCACGAGGAACACGAAGACACACTAACAACATGTTGTGTTTGTCGTCAAATGTGTAATGACAAATGTGCAAAAGTGTTGCGCATAGCCAAATTGTCCAAGCTTCCACCTTTGCGCAACATTCAATTATCAGCCTCACACTGCATCCTCAACCTCCAGTTTCGTCCAACTATGCCGCTGGTGCAGATTTGGAAAACGATTAGTTCGCGTCGCGTCGCGTTCCTCGCACAACGCATGAAGAGCCAATTTCAGGTCCTGGCCCTAATCAAGATGTTATGATTGGCCCGCTACCCGCTATACTAAGATTCCGTGTGCACGACCGATGTTCTCCAGGATCGCGAAACAAGGCTGTTCTCCTTCCTACTTCGCGATACGCACTTTCCCTTCTCCTTTTCTATGCCGTGCACAAAGCCACGGAAAGATTGTTGCGACTTGACGCACTCATGCACATACGCAGGCGTACACTCAATGGTAACCCCGCATCTCAGCTTTCCCATCTTACGTGTCCTTTGCTTTTTTGTTCTCGAAAGCTCCAGTTTAATCTGCATTTGTTCTTTTCTCCGGCCTTGGTTGAACTTGGAAGCAGCCTGAATGGGACTACGATATCTTATCCCCGAGAGCTCGGTCGCCAAACCTGCTGCGCGCCGTTCCACCCCGAACCGTCACACTGCGCCCACGTGAGCCGGCCTAACGCAATTCTGTCACTAGGTCCGGTACTTGACAGGCCACCAGACATCGTGGTGTGGTAATTTCCCAGAAAATACTTCTCACATGCCGTTTAGAGTACTAGCACCGTCTCGTTGACAGCACTCCACCACGGCTGCGGGGTACCTATCTAGTCCAAACAGAGACTTGCGTATGCACCCCACGTCACGAGTAGGCCTCCCATTGAGAACAGTATCTGGTTTCAGCATGCATAATCCAAAATGCCTCGGTGGATTTTGCATAAACTAACCTAAACGCCGCCAAATCTACTTTAGTTCACCCCCAGTAGGAAAGACCCCAGTCGACGGCATATCAACACACCTTCTGGTTTTGGGACAAGCAATCTGAAATATTTGCACCTAAGCACGTCCTTCCAAGTATAGCGTTGGCGAGCCGAGGAACCTCAGCCTCGATGTGGAAGCTCACTGGCTCACAGTTTGACTTTGGACATGGTGGAGAAGAGGTCACAATCTCCATAATGCGGGACCGCAACGGTCACAACCTCTTTGAGGACTACATGTCCGTAGTTTGTATTCCAGATGCTTTCTAGGGGATTAGCTTGTAGCCTTACCGAGGCTACATGGGTAGCAAAGGCGTCGTGGCTATGCCAGTCTGTTGCTACATAGCAGCATTGGAGAAAGCATAAAGACGAGAGCGAAGTCGTCGAAGAAGAAAAGAGACACAGCTCAGCCCAGCAGCCTACTCCAGCAGCATCTCTCAGCCTCTAATATCTTAATCAATTATCCACAGTCTTTCGCTATAACAACAATAACAACCCTCAAAATGAAGTCCGTCACCATCCTCTCCCTCCTTGCTTCCATCGCCATCGCCTCTCCCGTCGCTATCCCAGCACCTGTAGCTGAGCCCATCGCCGAACCCCTTACTATCAGGCTCGATGCTCGCCAAGCGAGTGCTACTCGCACTGAGCTCGAAAGTGGCAGCAGTTCTGCCTGCCCAAAGGCCATCTTCATCTTCGCCCGGGGCAGCAATGAAGCCGGCAACATGGTACGCAATCTCCACTCTAGACCACCTACAACCTCAGTACTAACCTCCACAGGGCGCCCTAGTCGGACCCTTCACCGCCAACAAGCTCGAGAACGACCTCGGCGCAGCAAACGTCTGGGTCCAAGGCGTAGGCGGACCCTACGATGCCGGTCTTGCCGCAAACATCCTCCCCGCCGGTACTACCGCCGCCGCCATCACAGAAGGCAAGCGTCTCTTCAACCTCGCTGCTTCAAAATGCCCCAACACCCCCGTCGTAGCAGGTGGCTACTCCCAGGGCGCGGCCCTCATGGCCGGCGCCATCCCCGGTCTGAGCGCCACTGTACAGAACCAGATCAAGGGCGTCGTGCTATTCGGATACACAAAGAACAAGCAAAACGGTGGCAGGATCCCCAGCTTCCCTACCGCCAAGACGGCGATTTACTGCAACAACGGCGATTTGGTCTGCGAGGGTACTCTGATTGTTCAGCCTACTCACTTGCAGTACTCGGACACTGCTGCTACTACCGCCCCTGCTTTCTTGGAGGCCCAGCTCGCCAAGGCATAGATGGGTACGATGGGATATGAATGACATGTTTGGATGATGGAAAACTTTTGTATCTACTTTCTTCTTCTTCTTCTTCTTCTTCAATGGCTCGGTAGGGTAATGGAAAATGGTCATGCTGGAAAACCTAATGATTTGGAACGCTAGCTCTCGTAGTAATCTACTATGCAATTAACTTCAACTCTTATGGCACATTGACATGGAGCAGCTTACCTAATCTTTCCATCTCTAGACCTTGACTAGCTCTATCTAGTACGTACTCGGCACCAAGCTATTCGCCCAAGCCTCTACATCCTTGAACTGCGCCTCTACGTTATCAGGAATTCCATTCCCATTCGCATCAACCCACTGCTTTCCAGGGTTAATACTACCCGGCCCACTCATCGGACTACCATTCTCATCGGTAATCAACTCCCCCGTCTTCCCGTAACTCTTTAACTCAGCCACAAGTCGCTGATCAACCGCATCCCGTACCTTGCTCGCCCCCACACTCGCTGCGACTAACGTCAACGCATCTCTCGCCGCCAACACCTTTGCAGGAGCGGGATACGCAAATCTTGAAGCCTGGATGTTCATGCCTCCGTAATTACTGGGCGATACAGCAATCTCCGCGCCATCCACCACCCCATTCCGATTATCATCGTAATAGTTCCCCTTTACAAATCCCTTGAACTTGTCGTTTCCGCGTGTGAATGGCGCGACGGTCGTATCGGGGCCTTTTACAAAGTAATTCCCCACGATGTTCGCTTGACTCTCTGCACTCGAATCACCCGCGATGTAACCCCCGCCGTTCCCCCAGTTGTACACGACGTTATTCGTGAAATCATTCGTACCCTTGACTTTTGGATTTCGCGTCTTGTTGTCAATGTACAAGTTGCGGAAGAGACTGATCCCGTTTCCAACCTCCGTCTGGATCAAGCCGCCGCACGAATGCGTCTGAAGGCCCTGCGCAATGATGCTGTTTTGAATGGTAATGTTACCGACGTCGGTCCCGGAGATTGAAAATGTTTCGTCGCGGCCCCAGGATACGCTCACGTGGTCGAAGATCATGTTACTTCCCGAAGCGATGGTGATAGCGTCTTTCCCGCTGCTTCCACTCTTACCCATGCGGATGCGGATGTAGCGTACGATTGCGTCGTTGGCGTTGCTGAAACTCCAGCCGTTGCCGTACACGGTAATGCCGTCGCCGGGCGCGGTTTGGCCGAGTATGGACACGCGTTTGGATACTACCATGCGTTCTTTGATGTTGATCAGGCCGCCAGTTGAAAAGACAACTATGCGGTTTGGCTGGGATACGGCATCGCGGAGAGAGCCAGCACCGCTGTCGTTGAGGTTCGTAACGACGTATACAGTGCCGCCACGTCCGCCGACGGCATTGCTGCCAAAGCCCTCGGCACCAGGGAAGGCAAGGGCAGAGGCAGACGTGACTAGGAGCGGTAGTATTTGGAGGAAATGCATGCTGACAGTGTCATGGAGTCACGAGTAATGTGACTGGAGGCTGAGGAAAGTGTCGCCGGGAGAGATTGACCGCAGACCACGTAACGAGACAGAGACCGTGGAAGGAAGTCATGTAGACTACCTTGCTAGTCAGACCGTGTAGCCACGTTCCCGAACCTGGTCAGGTGGAGGAATATTGTATATTGCTCCTTTAATCTACCCCAGGATGTGATGATCCACGGGGAAATCTTGGCCTCAAATCCTCCAATCGCAGTCATGTATGTACCTAGCAACGCGGGGGATGTGCCCCTTAGTGTTACTACTCCAGGAAGAAATTAAGCTTCTCCAGACTTGCGCTAGGGGTATGCTTGGGGTTCTTGAACGATTTTAACCTCGGGTTATCAATGGTGTTCAGCGCCCTACCTTGTATACCCTGATCCAGACTAGAGCCCACGACCGAGAATTGGGGTAGAGAGGGAGAACTCCAAATGTTCATTGTTGTGTCCGAAAAAAACAGACATAGTTGCTTCAGAGCTTACGAGTAATTATGGCTTCCAAGAATGAGCGATGAATCATGGGCACTGCCTCGGTAGTGGGTAGTCATGTTGCCAGAGTCGAACGAGGTTGTAATAAGATGTAAAGTATGATGCTGTGTTAAGACGAAATATGCTTGCTGCTCAAACAATGACCGCGAAATGCGACAGTAATGCGGACTTCGTAATGGAGCCCTGTGTAACCCGTTGAATGCGAGGCGTGTTGTCCCGCGGCGTCCTGGCGGCCTCGTGTGATCGCACCTCCAGCTTTGATGCATGTCTTGTTTTGTCGCTGAGGGTAAATAACCGCCGCATTTCTGCTCTTTTTCAGTGTTGCGCACGGTGTTGGAAGTGGTGGTGGTGGTACCTGATCTTCGGGATTGTTGAGATAAAAGACTTGGCACGATGTTCTGCGTTATGAACGAGTCGTTCAAGAAATAACAAGACAATTGCAACGCGAAGCTTCAATTACAGACAATATGACCGGAGTTTATATGGAAATATAAAATCGGTCGGAGTTTGAAGGTCTCAGAAAACCTTCCCATCGAAAGCCGGTTGCCAAGAGGTCACGAATGAAGCCTCACAATGTGACCTTGTTGACCAGAGTGGTGTACTATTCCTGAAGTCCTTTCATGTTCTAAAAACTGGTTCATAAATGCAATTATACTCTCACTCGCCGAATTCCAGCGCGGATTCGCATGGCTGGCATTGACTAATGAAAGGGACCAAATCCAATAATCGTCGCAGCAGGTTCGGTGCCCTGGTATCCCCAATAAACGTGAAGCATCAGATGCTGCGCCTGGCATCACAACCCAATTACCCAGGAAATTGGCAAAGTGAAGTTGGCGATGATAGTAGATGCGTGTGAACTGATTGGCTGGAGTTGCGGGTGAGGTGGTAAAGTTCTCAAAGCCCAGCTCATTAGATGTTAAGGTTACTGAGACAGCGGTTGTCCCATGGTTCCTTCCGTCTACTCAGATTATTAGTACACAACCGGAAGATAGTAATGGGATTGTGTACGCATTCGCGCGGATGCAGTAGAGTTGCTCGCCCGAAAGACCCAGGGGAGTCGGGGTCACAGTGACCACAATAATGAATGATGCAAGGGCGAAGCCCGAAATGCTGGAAAATTGAACCATTACGGGGGCAAATAAGTTGTAATTTGGCAGTGGGGAGAATGGTTTTGGTGGATATATATACATTTATTCGAGGAGTGGCGCCTAGTGCAGGCGTGACCGATATGAGGTCATGAGCCGTAATAAAGGCGGCTCTCAATGAGGTAAAGGAGGTCGAACATCGCACTCACTGTCTGCCTAGCTCTTAGAGAGCCAGTCCCTAGAGCAACTGTGTACTCGAAATGGCAGTCGAGTATAACATGAGGCGCATCGTTGGGTAAACTCTGGTGCTTACACCTTAACATACCCACAGAATGATAGCTCCCAGTGTATACGAGCTGGAAACGCGAAGAGTCCAAGGTATGTTTTCTTTATATCGATCTTTGAAACTTGCCTGTCGGTGAACATATGCGCTATGCTTGGAGGATATGATGCGATGATGAAACTACTGTAAGGGCTCGTGGACAGACGTATAGGCGAAGAATGAACCCAGGAGCGATCGTTATAGCTCAACTCAAGACTCAGTCTCACTGCAACTTTAATACCGCATCATGAGCTGCTTTTTCCGCCTGTATTCTGGGCCCGACGAGTGGCTCGGTCATTTTCGCTGGTTCGACTAATATTTCCCCAAGTCTTCCCAAGTAGTATGCGTTTTGGCAAATTTGCAGCCTGGAGAGTCTTCATCACAGCATTCCCAACCTATTGATCCATCTGATCTTGTATAATCCTTGCCAGGATGGTACATACAAGGCGCATCCCCTACAAACGGCTCTTTGCACTTGACGCAAGTCTCGTACGCTGGCTCCGGCATTTTCCTGATTCCAGATGGCCCTTGAACAGATGATACCTGACTCGCCGTGCGATAGACAGACGGTGAGCTGCCGGAAGGGTTCTGTAGAGGGCTGCGCAGGGCTGTTGGGCGCGGTGGGGTTGGTTGGTAAGCTCTCTGGACGCTCCCATTGTCGTGAAGACCATACCCAGAAGACCCATTATATTCTCTCTTAATCCGAGGCACAGAATGAGACCCGTGAACATGAGGCGGGGGTAGGGGTAGGTTGTAGTGTTGAGTCTGCAAAGGAGTCCCGGTGCGGTGTGATGCGGAAATCGGTGGCCTAGCCAGTATTTGCAAAGCTTCGTACTGGTCATTGTCTTGGCCCTCGTCTAACAGTCCATCGCTGTCGCTGTCGTTGTCGACGCGGTAGTTGCCGGACACCTGTGTGCTCACTCGGTGCTGTTTTGTCATCTTCCGGGCGAATGCTGAGTGTGGCGTAAGTCCCCGCACAAGTGCACCAGAAAATGCAGGAGATATTTTGCACAAATCAAGCAGCACATTCTGCAAATCATCTTTATCGGTTGTGCTGATGATTGCCTTGAGATGATCAGGATTGATGGGACGCGATCGCTGCGGAGCGACGGGCACATGGGCGGGACCTGACGCTTGGCCAGGTTCATATTTGACGCGTGATATGCTGTATTGACGCGGGTCTCGGCTGATGTAGGTTTGGGTTAATCGCGTTGGCGCACGAGGTTGTGGTCGCGCTTGCGGTTCAGGTTCCGGCGAAGAGAGCGTAAGATCTATGGTTTCACTGTGACGCCAATCCGCGTCGGTCTGTGAGCGCGCCATTGACGAAATGTGCAAGACCAAAATATCAAAAATCGGTGTAGCTGAGCGAACGTTGAAGTCGTGAGTTGGGATGGTCCTGGCGTTGTGCAAGGTTCAAAGAAGTGCGAGGTTTGCCGGATCCGTCGCGACGCCAGTTCACGTGAGTTTTGCACGGACCTTTCCGCACCGCCACACTTTGCCGAGTGCGAGCCTTGGTTGATCTGATTCCGTCTCCCTGACAAAACCCAGATCTGACATGGCTTCGCCCGGCCTCACCAGCACGATCGGCCGCCGCGTTATTCCGCTACTGCCGGAACTCTGTGAGCGATTCTCCGTCAATCATCAACCCTGTGCAGCGCAGCACGATTAAGCCGGTTCAGCCACGGTCGTGACAACACGTCCAGACTTTGAATCCAGCTTGATTTTGCGTATGCGCTACTGACACTGTACATCTCGAGGCTTCATCTGTTGGTGGGACATCTACCACTGGGATGGATTCGTGGGAAGCTTGCCTGCTAGGCTACCTCGTGTACCCAGGATGTCTGGATTCTTTTGGATGTACCTTTCTGCCGCGCCACCACTTAGATGTCTCCAGAAATTCCCCGAAAACTTCCCCGGGTGGAGTCCACCAATCTGGGTTGCATACAGCCGTCTCAACCCCCATTATGATTCTAATCTCGCTTTAGGCTATGCGTCTTTCTATAGCCTGGTAGTGGCACTTGCCATTTGGAGTATCATCTAATTATGGTGTCCTAACGGTAAGGTATACCCCTTGGATTTCCGTATATAAAGCTGCCTCCATCGCTTCATTGATGATTCTGTACCCTCAACAGTTCACTTCATCACAACACAACATGCTTTCGTCCCTTGCTCTCGTACTTCCGCTTGTTGCGTCCGCTGTTGCAGCTCCTCAAGATCTTTCTCATCGATCAGGACGTCAATCGGCACCTTCTGGCTGCCTATCTGTCGGACCTACCAGCACCTTCCAAACAGTCCAAGCAGCTGTAGATGCCTTGAGCACCACCGACACGGCGGCACAGTGTATCTTCATCGCCGCGGGCACCTACAAAGAGCAAGTCTACATCCGACAACTCGCGTCATCATTGACTATCTACGGACAAACTCCCGATACCAGCAGCTACAGCTCCAATACGGTGACCATTACCCAAGGAAAGAGTCAAGACGACTCGCCCAACAATGACGCCACTGCAACCCTTCGGGCATCAACTCCAAACCTCAGAGTTTACAACATCAACTTAGTCAACACTCGCGGACAGGGCTCGCAAGCTCTCGCTGTCAGCGCAATGTCCGACAAGCAGGCCTACTACGGCTGCCAGTTCAGGGGCTTTCAAGACACAGTCCTTGCACAAAACGGTAGACAGCTATTCGCTAAGTCTTACATCGAGGGTGCCACGGACTTCATCTTTGGTCAGCATGCTACGGCCTGGTTCGAAAAAGTCTCCATTGGTGTTCTCCCTGCATCGCTTGGTTTCATAACCGCCAATGGCCGTCCGTCGGCTTCCGACCCTTCCTTCTATGTGATCAGCAACTCCAAGGTCGCCGCTGCACCGGGCACCAGCGTTCTCGCTGGAGCATACTACCTCGGTCGCCCATGGGGACACTTTGCTCGCGTTGTTTTCCAGAATACTAGTATGACTAACGTCATAAACCCTCTCGGCTGGTCAACTTGGCAGACCACTGACCCGAGGACGGATTCGGTTACATTTGAGGAGTTTGCTAACACCGGCCCTGGATCGACAGGCACCAGGGCAAGCTTCTCCAAAAAGATCTCGGCTGCTATCCCGAAAACAGCGATCTTGGGCAGTGACTACAAGACCTGGGTCGATGAAACATACCTGTGAGGCGGAGTGGAATGGCAAATGGAGTTCGGCTGGACTCCTCGGTCAAAATGTGGACTCTCGAATTTTGTTTACCCTAGTGTAGCAAATCCCAATTTCAAAAGAGCCCATCATCATTGTGATAAATTCTATTGAGTTTGCCAGGGCATGAATTCGTGTTTATTACGAGAGCACAGTCGTACAGATGTAAGCAATTGTCTAGCGAGGAGCCGAACGTGATGTACCGGTAGACCCGGTAGACTGGGGTACCTACCGAGGTAAGCACTAGCTTGGGATCCGCTTCTAGGATGTTGGCAGGTGCCGTCTCGTCACCGGACCTTCCGTAATTTTCCCATGAGCGTCAACAAAGTCTCGCATCCAGCTCCAGATCTCCGAAGAGAACAGAAATGTCTTACGGGACGATAGAAACTGCATCATCAGCAGACCGCGGCAACACCCGCTTTGTACCACACTTACCTACGTCAACCCCAGTTGCAGCTCCCGAAGCTCAACCTGCGCAATCACGACGAAGTTGTTTCGCAGCTGGATTGAAGAACTTTTACAATCGCAATTTTGGACTATTTCTAGTATTCCTCGCCCAGACATGCGGGTCTATAGTATGGCATTCTTTTGCCGTTGAGGCAAGAGCACGGCTAATTCGTATCCTTGCAGATGAACACGGCAGCCAAGCTATTGACGAATGATCCTTCCATCAAGTTCCATGCACTACAGATTATATTCATTCGCATGCTATGTACGAGTATCATATGTTCGATATACTGTTGGTGCCAGGGCGTCCCAGACTTCCCTCTTGGTCAGAAAGGGATTAGAGGATTACTTATTGTACGAGGTATGGCTGGGTTTGTAGGATTGTTCGGGCTATACTGTGAGTTCATTAACCATAATCAAACAGATCAGGCAAAAGATAAGGCTATATATGGGAATTGAGACTGATTAATGACTTCTAGACTCTTTATCTTGGCTCGAGATTTCCGACGCGACAGTAATCACCTTCTTGATCCCCACTATGACAGCAATAGTCTGTTTCCTCTGGCTACGCGAACCATTTACTTGGAAGGAAGCTCTTTGCAGCTTCATCGCCTTCCTCGGCGTTCTTTTTGTTGCTCGACCACCGTGGCTCTTACCGCACGGACATACAGTTACTCCACCATCGGATCACCCGGATAACAAGACACCCTTTTTAAGCCCCGAGCAGCGAGGCTTGGCTATCGCCGTCGCTATCCTAGGAACGTTTGGAGCAAGTATGGCATATGCGACTATCCGCGTCATAGGCAAGCGCGCACATTCTCTCATCAGCGTAAACTACTTTTCTCTCATTGCTACGCTAGCGTCTTTTTTCATCATTCTTATACACCCTGGCTTGCGATTTGTAGCGCCTACGACATTGGGTCAGTGGGGGTTGATAGCCATCATTGGCCTCTTTGGTTTCCTGCTACAGTTTTTGCTGACAGAGGGCCTGCAAAGGGAGAAGGGTGGAAGAGCAACGAATTTAACATATCTCCAGCTAGTATTTGCGCTAGCAGTGGAAAGAGTGATTTGGGGAACTACGCCGCCATTGGAGAGCTTGATAGGAGCTCTGCTTATTATTGGGGCTGCGATCGCGGTCAGCTTGCAGAAAGAAACTAAACAAGAGAAGATTGCGAGAGTCCTGGACGAAGAAACGAGGTTGTTGGGAGATGAAGAGTGAAGCGGCAAGGATGGACGATTGGAGTGTGATGTGGTGCTCCAAACGATGATTACGAGATGCTATTGTAATACACAGAACTACCCAAAAACTTGTGGGGTGTCAAAAAGAGACAAAAAAAGCCGGTACCATCCTCAACAGGTATCCACCAAATACGAAGTTACGAGACGCAACACGCCGCCAACGACTGATGAATCCAACATTTCGTATACCTGCAACACCCCGGTAATCATTACCGAGCCTTGAGTACATCCCCACATCCTCCTTGATATGATGATCCTAGATGCGTAAAACTCGGAAAGTAAGTCTACGGTCGATATGTGACTCATGAATCACGACATTGTCAATTGCTCAACCAAGGTCACACAGCCAAGCCTACCAAGCCATTGCGCGCATACCAAGCTTCGCAACCACGTGGAGGCAAACTTGAATGTTGTTAGTGCTGCCACAGTGTGACGTGAGATGCACCTTCATTCCACTCAGCGAACCATCTCCCAAGGGCCATCTCCCCACCATCTCAAACCTCCCCACTACAGCCACATCGCCTAAGATTAACACTCCCAAACCCACGTGTTCAACCTCTAGTATGAGAAGCCATTTCCCCACCATTCCCATCCCAGCCCCCTTCCCGAGGACTAAATGAAAAAGCAAACAAAATCTGTACACACCTACGTCATCCCTCCAAACTTCAGCCCACCCATGCCGCGTCAACTGCAAACGCACAAGATGATCACCGCCACCATGCCTCTTTCTCATGCTTCTGCATACAATACTGTAGGTAGCAGCCACATTCGCTTACCCCTTCCCGTTCCAGGTCCCCGCGCCCAATTCACCCCCCAAAAAAGCGTGCTCCTAGCATATAGTCCAAAAAATAAAAATAAAAATGAATACGCCGATGATACAGCGTTCCCATCGTGTTTGTAGCCGAGGGTACGGCTCGGCTCGGCACAGCGCGGTCTTTAGAGCAAAAGGAACGAAGGATGGATGCGTGAGTGCGCCACTTACGTTGTAAGCGACGCAATGTTAAGGGGGTGTATGGGGAAGAGAAAAATCTGCTCTTGGTGAGGATTTGGTTGAGGAGTTGAGGGACAGACGGTGGGGTGTTGGGATTGCTGCTATGAAGCTCGTGAAATATGCATGGGAGACGTCAATTGAGCAATTAACAACTTAACTATGATTTAATACGATGATAGCGAAAGAAAGCCGCTTTTTCTGTATTCCAACTCCCCAAACTCCGCGCAAAGTCCGCAGCAACCAAGGAAAACATTATCGCTACTCCACCTCGTATCCTTCATATGCCCCATGAAAATCCATAATCGTACATGTACAGTCCAAGAAAAGAGCTACTGTCTCATACTCATACCCCTCTCACTATCTGCCCTTCCCTCGCTCGCCGCGCCTCTGACAATGTGCTCCTCACTCTCATTCATCTCCGTCTCCATTCCCGTAATCTCATGTACCGTCCTCTTCTTCCCCTTGCGGTCGACGTGCGATAGACGGAGGTGAACTGGTAATGCATTGTTGGATGAGCTATCTTTCGACGCTTTTGCTGAGGAAACGGCGTTTTTGGCTTTGGTGAAGAAGGGCTTTAGGACGGGGAAGTTTACGGCGATGATGCCGACGAACTGTTGTGGGTTGTTAGTGCTGTGTGATGGGATGATGAGAGAAGAGGGGAGGGCCATACTGTTTCGCGGATCGACCAGATGGTACCGACGTTGATTTGGGACACGTCTTGGAGACAGAGGATGCAGCGGAGGAGGGTGGCGGTCATGATGAAGATGCCTGTGCAGAGCCAGAAGCCGTAGATTACTTTCTTTCGGATGGGCAGTCGGACATTCCAGAGGAGGGGCAGTGGGATATATAGGATCATGGCATCGGTTCTGGGAGAGTATGAGTATGAGTTTGGGTTCTCAAGGGTAGGATGCCACTTACGTTACATTCGTCACGACTAAGGCTAGGTATTTCGAAATATTAAGGGCGCAGTCGTTGCCTGGGTATGGATATACTTGCCATAGCCGATTGATGGGGTGGCAGTGCGTCAAATAGACGGTTATTGTGGTAATGTATGCAACAACGCAGATGCCGCCGGTGATGTTTACTAGATTTTGCTGCTGCAGGTTAAGACTATCGATATCAGTGCATGTTCGAACCTCAAGAAGGCAAAGTATTCGTACGTCAGTCTCTTATAAAAGAACAACATGCAGCCTTTGACTGGAAACGCTGTTAGCATTCAGATATTGACTAGAGCCTAACCACCACTATCATGGTGGAGGTTGCCCGAAAGCAAAGATCACTTACGGCACCATATTAGCGTCGTGTATATAATCCACCCCGCAAACAGACATTTGCTTCCAATGACGATGTTTCGAGTTTCCTCCGGAGTGAGTGTCAACGCCTTCTCATCTGTCATACCCGTGATGGAGCCCAACTCCCCAATCATCTGGAGCATGACGAGTTCACCGGTGAAGAAGAAAATGCTCAGCAGAGCAAAGTAGTCGTCCCCTTCCCATTTTAGACCGATTCGCGAACATCGTGCTGTTAAGCGAGCAACCAAGATAAGTATACCGACTCCATATTCGGTCCAGGCTTCCGTCGTAAACGGATTGTAGGGCATAATGGTGGTGAGTGTCAAGTCTGGCGATCAACGCGCGTTATAAACTCGAATCGAGATTTCGCGAACGCAGCGCCAAAGGCGCATTTCACAAAGTGGCATGATGGGCAAAAGGAAAAACGGTGATCGCCGTCATTAGGCGTTTTGACAACTACAGGGCTCTGCCGCGCGGAGCGTGCGGGAGGATGAGGGTCGGGCCTTAGCGTCGCCAAGGTATCGAAGTGATTGGATAGACACATGCTCCCTAAAAAAAGCGAAAGCATTGCAAATCGTTTGCTTGCTTCAGCGAATGTAGTGGATACATGTTCATTAGGCCGCCAGCCAACCTGGTATAGTGGCGCGGTGCGACGTCGGAGTAATATGAGGGTACGACGGTTGGGTATATAGCAGAAGTTGGAAGGTTGATATCAAGGCGAAAATGCCCGGCTGTGTGCATTGCATTAAACAGCCAGAAGCCGTTTGAACATCATGAGCATTATTGTGCTAAGTCTGAGGAACCTGCATGTCAGCAATTTGCGTACCGTACCGAGCCGTACCGTAGCCGTGATAGACAGGTCTAGCGCGTCGCAAGCTGAGTCGTCCCACACTCAGTCCCACACTGGTCTGTCTCGGACGCATAGAAACATACCGAGGCCGTTGCGCTATTTCGCGCCTTCTAACAGCAACTATTGGTACTAGCAAGCTATGGGATGCGGCGGTATAATAAGAGCGGTCATGGCCTCACCTGCAGTCCAGGGGGATTCCTCTGAAAATTTTGCACAAGCCTGACAACGTATCCGAAATGCTGGAAAGTGCCATCCCAAAGCACCTTCGCCGGGAGCGAAAATGTCCTGTCAGTACACCGGCAAATTATGTCCCGCCTTTTCCTGCATATTGCGCACGGTTCCCGACCAAGATGGATAACCTCGTTATGGCAATCATGGGCGCGCAGCATGCCTGTACAATAGGCGCCGACAGTGCAGGCATTTCGACCATCAAGGAATTTGTCCGCGATGCGCCAGAGTCGCTGCGGCCCTCATTCTGGGAAGTCACCTCTGTGGTAGACAAAAAGGGTGCCTATAATGTCGCTGTAGTGGCATACTGGCCCAGCACGAATCTGCATAGGGATTGGCAAGAAAAGTCGGGTTTCAACGTGTGGTGGCAGAGTTCCGATAGGGAGAAGGATGGGTATGGGTGGTTTCAGGAAGTCTTGTCTCCAACCGTTGACCGTTTTGAGACGGTTTTCTCGAATTCCGAACATCCAGAAGGCGCGGCCAACATGCAGGAAAAGATCTCAGGCGAAATGGAGGAGCATGGGTACTGGGGCAGTATGCGTGACCGTCTTGCAGCCGCCCAAGACGATGAACTCAAAGGCACCAAGTGGGTCGATAGCGGCAATGCCGGCAATGCCTCCCACGCAAACGGAGGCTCATCAAAGCGTACCCGTATAGCAGGCAAACGGAACCTCTGCGTAATTCGATCCGGCCAGGATTGGTCCGACACGCTTCCCGAAGAGCACAAATTATATCTCGAAACGATACATCCAGTACTCGTCAAGGGCATGAACTTTCTGCGCGATGAAGGTCGCCAAACGGGATGTTATGCGATGAATCTGTGGGATGTCGTGGATTCCAAGTCACACGAAGTCAATCAGGATCGAACATTTGGCCTTGGCTACTTTGACGACCTGGCCTCGCTCGAAGATTGGAGTAAAAGCCATCAGACGCATGTCAACATCTTTGGCGGCTTCTTGATGTATGCTAAGAAGCTGAACAATGTGCTGTCGTTGCGCTTGTTCCACGAGATTTACGTGCTTGAGCAGGACCAGCAGTTCTTCGAGTACATTGGTTGCCATGAAGAGAGTGGAATGATCAATTCGTTGCGGGCAGGAAAGCTAGGAAACCGAGGGAATTGAATAAGACCTCACATGTTGTGATGTTCCGAATTCCTCACGTGGCACAGCTAGAACGGTTATGACGACAGCTTGGGATGAACGTGCACCAGACTCCTCGAGGAACCTACGGATTTTAGTGTTAGCGATGCATTAGTTATGCGATGGCATTAACGATTGTCTATACCGTAAGATTGCCTTGAAGTCATCATTCTATAGCGTAAGGGGTGGAAGCTCCACATAGAAGGGGGGGGTGGGTGGGTTAGCGCAACTACCTTATCGCCTTATCGGGACCGCAGGGGAAGCTACGACGCGTTGACCTCATCGAATGCGCATACGCGAAACGTTCAGTTATACTCAACCACGCCATGTCATGCACAAAAGACTAACATATATATGATACGTTCATGGTATACGAGCGTAATGTTCAGCTAGCGGTGGCGTGAAGGGGCGATCACGCGCCTGTTAATGTACCCCGCGAAACATGATAAGCGCGGCACGGAGCTTACGCGGGGATAGGGCGCCATCACTCCCTGTTGCCCGAGCCCTCGATCCTGGTGATACTCATCTCATCGTTGCTCAATCCTATCGGGGATCATATTAGGAATCCTTGGGATGTGTCCCATTTTTGATTGATATAGTTCGATACCGCATTTGACATAGCCATTGTCCGTCGTCTCAGCCCGGCTCCGAGGAGCTACTGCTGCCTTGCTCAGTGGACCTTTGATAGATACGACGGTATACCTCCTCTTGGCTGGAAGAAGACGCCGATATTGACAGTGTGAATAGAGTCAAAACTCGGAATATCTCCCTCTGCATCTCGGTCTCTCCAAGACGTCTCACTTCGTTCATCATGACCTGGTGGCGTCGCGACGGGACCGTCTCTCCTATCCACAGATACGCGCAACGTCTTCTCCGCTCCCACGAAGCTACCCTACGTACCCGATACTTCTTCCGCACACCTTCCAAGTCGGCCCAGCATGGAGACGACGGCAACACCAAGCGTCCAATGGGCATGTCCAATCTCGAGTGGGTGCAGCTGCAGCACTATCAGCGGTGGCGAAAGAGGCTGATGGACGATCCATACCAGGCCATCTTCGGGGCTAGTAATGATATACTTAGCGGAAAGGGTCTGAAGGATTGGGAGTGGATAAGCAAGAGCTTTCCTAAGTGGATGCTGAGGGAGATGGAGACTCACGACACCACCGCGCAACTGAACCCTGACAAAGATAATGCTACCCATCCCAAACATCCAAAGAGGGTAGAAATAAGAGACAAAGAACCGGTCCCATCCAAGGAAAGGGACTCTCATTTCCCGCAGCCTACCTTCAGGGCAACAAGACTTGATCGTGAGGATTCCAGTGGGGTTGTATCGCCTTCTGATTTGAGGAGACCTCGAGAAGAGCCCTACATGGCCCCCGAACTCACTCTTGACACGGAGAGCTCATCAAATGATCACCAAAATTCCACCTCTTCGCAGCCGATTCCCCCAAAGAGCTCGGAGTCGTTCAGTGGCTACATAACCAAGACACGATCAGATGCGGCCACCAAGCTCAAGAAGTCAAGCAAAGAAGAGCCTATAGATAAGCCAAGTTTCATGAACCAGTTTCTCATGGATTCGTCTCGACAAGAGGGCCCATTTATCAAAGATCCTACCAGAACCAGTACATGGAGAGAGACTGCGCTACAGAGAAGGTCTTTACCAAATATCACCGCTGAACCAGACACAGAGCCTGAGATGTTGACCAGCTTTTCCAACCGACTGCCTCCAGTTGTGTCGTCTAACCAAGATACACAATGGTCGACTGAAAGAGCTCCTGAAAGGCTCTCTCCCAAGTCATTGGCGGAGCTGGAAGTCCCAGCTGCGCCCAAGTCGGTAGAGCCAGAGTCAGAAGTGGTCCCAGTTACACATCCAACAAACGACGGTACTTCCCCTACTCGGTCAACCTCAAGGATTCTGAGCCAACTGCCTGAGGATGACATTGATCTCCTAAGCGCGGCCGACATCCGTGCATCCATGGGAGCACGAAAGAGCAAGACCATTCGCGAAGACCAGAAGAAAGTCGAGCGTTCACACTTAGAGAAGAGTTTTGTGGATGCGCATAACACACGTGATGGCATTGATCCGATGATAGAATCCAACGTAATCAACGATCAACTGGTGCGTCGCTTGGAGAGTCAGATGCAAAACCGCCAGCAGCCCGAACAACCTGAGCAACCCAGTGAGTCACTACCAGTCCCACAATTTGAGTCTATCTCTACAGGAAATACGGGTTTGTCCAAGAACAGCACCGAGCGACCGATGTCTTGGCTCGAGCAAGGTGGTGCGGTGTTCTCGAGTCTTTTCTGGCAAGACCCAACTATAGAAGCGGATGCAGAGAAGACCCGCCTGTACTGTGAAAAGGTTCTCGCACGTATCCGTAAGGGGCGTACGACGATGAAGCAAGTCATTGAAGACCTGGAGAGTGACGTTCCAGCATCTAAGCCTCTGTTGAAGCGCATGAAAGCAGATGAAGACATGCTTGATGCAGCCATCAACGCTCTTTGGCAACGTGCGATTACCGGAAAACTTCCGTCCTTGACGCCAAGAAAGTTCAAGGGACTGCATCCTATGCGGCTGCGGATTGAAAATACAGACAAAGAGCTGAAAAAGGCAAACGCGGCCCTGAATGACATTAGCAACTCAAGAGCTGTGAAATACGCCTCGCCAGCGTTGAAGAGGCGACTTGCCATTGCGGTGGAAATCACACAAAAGAACGCTCACCTCACACGTTATTTGATCTGGAGCTTACAAGCCCGTCTCGAAGACCCAGGGATCGAGCGAACCTTGTATCCCAATTACAAAGTTGTCGTGAACAGCCTGTTGACGCTTAGAGATACACAAGTGGCTTTGGCTCGATTGTTGGAGCGTGTCATGCTAGTGTATGGCGTGTCGCCACAAACTATGGAAGACATCGACAAATTGAGCCAAGGTAATGCTGTGGAAACGCCAAACGAGCATAACCAGATTATCCCGCGAGATGCGTCGCCTGGCTTGAATGAGGTCGACAAAGCCCAGCTGCGTGCCAAGATAGCTGCGGAGGAACGACTTGCTAACGAGGTCGACGCACAGAAGTCTGCGATGCGTGGTCTCTCAGACGATGGGTACGCCCGCGTGCCAAAGCTAACCGCGAAGAAGTCATTTGAGGAACGAGGTCCTCTTGCGCACAGTCTCTTCAGACCCTTTGGACCAGTACTTGAGAGTCTAGAGACTGAGAAGCCTGTAAGGTCGGAGGCAAGGCAGGCTGAAGAGGCGCTGCAGAAAGCTAACGATGATCAATTGGTCGCCGAGGTGAAGAGCGCGTATGAAGACACCTACGGGCCAATTACCGTTGGTCACGAACAGTCAACCCAACCAGCTGCGGAAACCAAGATTAGTCAAGAGCCTGATATGAGACGATTCGACATGCTCAAAGACGATCCTACGACTATCTCGGAGAGCTCTGCTTGTGAAATTGTACCAAGTCCTCAGGATATGACCCACACTCAAGATGTCGCAGCAGTAGAGGTCACACAGGAAGTTTCACAGGATTCCCCAGTAGACACCCAAGCCACTTCGGCTGTGGAGTCTGCCGAAGCGGCTCTTGGAATTAACGAGGTGTCTGACAAGTCCGAGCTGGAGGCACCGTCCCAACCTGCATCATCTCCATCATTTACAACTCTCCCAACACACTACACCATTCTTATCCATGATCCCGAGACCGGCAAGCTCTCGCTCACCACATCCACCTCTGAACCACCACGCGACACCTCTCCTATGGTACCATTGCATCAAGCATTGGCTACTCTCGACCAACCCGCGAAGTTTATCCCCCACATCACCGACGCTCTCGAGATCGTTACTGCAAAGAGAGACATGCTCATTCTCCGCCACGCCCTTAACGCTGCCACCTCCACCAAATCCTTCGAGACAGTCAACACATCACCAGCGATGGAAGAGACACAAGAAAGCGAAATCTCAATAGAAAGAGGCAACATCAACCCGATAGACGGTACAACACGTCTCTCCCCCACCGGCTACGTCAGCCCAGCAGAAAGCCAAGAACAGCTCGAGAAGGAATTTGCGGAGCGCCGCCTGGCAGCCGAGCGATTGAGCAGTAGTGAAGGTGCCGAACAAGAGCAGCAGCAAAATGAGCAAAAGTCAAAGAGTAGAAAGAAAGGTGGGCGGGGTGCGGGCGTGGTTAAGACGGCGATTTGGGCTGCGGCTTTGTGCTATGTGGTTGGTGTGGTTGGGGAGATTACGAGTTAGTCGGTCGATATGTGGGTATCAGGTTGGGCGTTATATTCACTTCCTTGAGTAAAACATTTTTCAGTTCTTGTTTGAGCGTTTGGATGTACCGGATGAGTGGTGTTTATGGGGTTTCACGCCGCTCATTTATTCGGCCAGGACATGTATTGGTAGGGATATACGCGTGCAATGCGACTGTTTCTTTGTGCATAGTTTAAATATATATTTTATAGCTGCTTAGTAGCTCACAGACGTGTTTTCTGCATAGTCTTGGCTGATTTGTTGAAAGTGAAAGATATGGGTAGCTGGGTACACACATGTCTGTGAACACATCAGGGTACTAACTAGAGTATTTAAGATGTATCAAGGATTTAAGGTAACAAGGTAAGCATGTGCATGTATTGTTGTGGTGCTGGTGTTCAGCAACGATGAACGTGAGAATGAGCACCCATGTTCGTCATCAACGTGTGCATCAAGGCAAAGGTCAACACCACAAGATCAGAAGGAAGATTGGAGAAAACAGGTTCTTGTGGTTACAAAGAGCTATATACGGTCCACCGAATTTCCAGGCAACCACCTTCCAGTGACTATCAGTCATACCATACCACCACTCCTAAGCCAGCACTCCCAAGTCACCATGCACCAACTAACCCCGAGCTTCCACTGCACCGACACGCTGGAGCGACATTGACACCGGAGCAAGTCGGGCAACCTTCCATTAATGCATAAGGCAGCGCGAGCCAGATTCCCGGAGTGCTCATCACTGTTCCCGGACCCTCACCGCAGTAGCCAGCACCGCCATAAGGAGACCGCCACCCGTCCCAGAGCCAATACGCTGGAGTGACATTGACACCGGAGCAAGCCGGGCAACCTTCCATTAAGCCACTAAGGACATGCTACTCAAGTCTGAGACGCTGCAGGTCGGCAGTTGACTGCAGCTAGGGTGCTTGGAACTTGGTGACCCAAGCGAAGTGAAGTGATGCCAGTACATGAAAAAGACCCAACAAGAACCTGGTCTGGAAGTTTTCAGTGGCTGATCTCGAGAAGGAGAAAGGTGACTCACGTTGAAGACTAGCTACAGACGGCATCCAGAGGTGATGCACCTGACCGACGAGGCGACTTTTGGAGATGTAGAGGAGTCGCCGAGCGTTGGATGAGCCAATGAGGGGTTTTTGCAGCCGATTGTGTGATGTTGTTGGTGGCTGATGGCGTCGCACTCGAGAGTAAGTGCCAGTGTCGCAATTGGTGAGTGCCAATGTCGCAGTTGGTGAATGCGAAGGACGCAGTTGGCGACAAGGCGTCACACTAGGCAATGTCAGTAGCACAGAAAGCAGAGAAGAAAATAAAATACTTGTTTGGGTGTGTAGACAGCTCAGGCGAGACCCGTCAGTCCTGGTGTGTGTCAGTCAACCAGACCGATCAGGTGAGAGAGGTGAGTACCAGTAATGCTTTTGCGATCGCAGGGAAGCTCGAGCTGGTTGCGCTCATGATGAAGGAGGGTATTGAAGTTATGTGAGAAGAGAGGTAATCAATCTCGTGAATGAGTAAAGTGTGGAGTAGAAGTGATGGAGGAGGTAAGTGGACGGGCGGCGCGCTTTATATGGGGGTGGGAGAAGCGCTAATTTTGCGATACACGTGACGGCCAGGTGCCGGCTTGGACCCTGAGCGTCAGAGGCAAACACCTGCGCGCCATAAAATTGGGGCTCGAAATGGGGTTGGCGGCGGCCAGACAGAGACTCATAGTAATTTGGTGAGCCCGGGTCTGCGTACGGCTTGCCGACAACAGCCGCTGGAAGCTCGTAGACGTTTCTGCCTGGCGCTAGCACTGTTGCCTGGAGATTTATGTCGTCCACGCGTATCGTGAGGCTGCTAGCGTGATGTCAACGTGCGGGGTGGTGAAGGTGAAGGTGAGCGAAAGCCGAAAAAGGTGGATGACCTACATGTGTGTAGTGGCTTTGGAAACGAAGTTGCGAGATTTTGATATTGCTGCGGGTCTTTGTAAATTGGCTATGCGTGGATGCGAGTCTTCTGACAGACGGTGCCATTGGGAAGGCGCAGCGCGTTCACAGGCTACAAGCTCACTTCGATCACGAACTCGCTACGTCGATGTAATCTCTTGAAGTCTTCGAGCACGTTTATCATACGGAAGCGATGATCTAGCAAGACAAGAGGACAACAGCGGAAGAATTCATACGGTTGAAAACATTATGTGTATATAAATGACCGCTAGCAGTGAACTGAAGAGTATCGCACACTCTAATAACCTTGAAGAAAAAGCTCTTATTCCTAAAAATTGCCGAAGCACTCTCCTATCGACTCTCGAGCGTCGTCCTTAGACACGCCAAGGTAGATTTCTTTTGCTGGAAAAGATATAATTATACAGGTCCGGGTTTTTCGGGGGACCCTTCAATGAGTTGGCATTTACCGTGTTCGATGTGGTAGCTGACGCAGCTGGGTTTTTCGGCGCAGAGTGTTGCACAGCTTTTGGGGGCATGAGTCTCTACGGGTCTGGGTTTGTAGGAGGACCCGGCAGTGAGTTTGCATATACCGTTCTCCGTGCGGTAGCTGGCGCAGCCGGGTTGTTTGTCGCAGAGTTCTGCACAGTTGTCGGGCTTACGAGGCCCGCCGCCCACGAGTTGGCATGTATCGCCTTCTACATGGTAACTGACGCAGCCTTCTTGTTTGGCGCAAATTGATGCACAGCTTTCGGGCTGAATGGCCCCGCCCGTGATTTGGCACAAATCGCCCTGCTTGCGGTAACTGACGCAGTTGGGATGATTGGCGCAGAGTAATGCACAGTCGTCGGGTCTACGGGGCCCGCCGAGAAGTTTGCATAGGAGGCCTATTTGGTGGACAGCGAGGCAGTTGTGTCGGCTGGAGCAGATCTCTACACATTCGCGCAATGTGTCGGCCTTTGAGGAGGTTAGTGATTCTACTACAATGACTAGGCTGATGGAATCAATAGATTGCAAACTCACTTT